AACGCCCTACTTGGACGTTAACTTGCTGGCTTACCTGTTTTTAACATGCCCGATCACGTCACACCGACCGAAGCGATCGATCGCAGCAGGAAACAGCAGGCACGCCAAGTTAGCATAGAGGCTATCACGCGGGCTGCTACAGCGGCGAAACCAGCCGAGCTTTGAAGACAACCACGCGACAAGCTGGAAAGTATCATTACAAACCTGAAGACCTTGTTGACGACCACTGACCTACTGCAGACAACGACGACTGGTGAGGATAGCACGGACCATTCCTTGCATTTCGCATATACCCGAGCGAGGACAAGTAATAGTACAAGCGGGTAGTAGGGAAGTTGCAGTACAATGCTCCGACGCCCGACACATGTTGAACATCGAAGACCTTATGCGCACAGTGGTTACATTCATTGCCAGTCTGGCGGCTGGACAACCAGCCATTGCGTTCGGGCGCACCCCCGACTCGCGAGGCGATTTGCGAATGACTGTTGGAAGCAAAATGCATTCAAGGGTACACGTTGCACTACAATACCTACTCTGGAACTACTGCAGGATTGATCTCGAAGTTGCAGTACGCCTCACTGAGAGTATACACAGACTACCACAATTTTCTCATGCCGACAGCAGTACACTCATACATGACGACACCGACGTAAATCCTGGATCCCACTACTACGAAGCAAACGGAGCCACTTCAAATATAAAGGACATCACTGGCGGCAACCGCTCCAGGAGTCTCCAATGTCTTAAGTCAATCAAACCCTTAGCTGGATGTGATGAGGACTTGTCCGAAACCCAAGAATTGGCAAATGGCGGATCTGGAAATAACCTAAAAGATCGACCACCGGGCAACGATCCCGAAAGTCCCACTATTGGCCCCGATGCAGGACGACTGCCTGCGACCCAGGAAGAAACTGATGAAGATCCGAATGCGCATCTCATGAAAGATTGGCACGACGAGCTCACAGCAGAATGCCCATTACAATATGAAGAACCTGTCAGGAGCCTGGCAGCAGGCTCGACGAAGATTGCGAACCCGATGCTATACCCGTACAACTATGCGAGTACGACGCCAAGTATACGTTGGATGTCGACTGTCATGGAGAATTCGCAGAACTGTGTTTCACAACGGATATGGCGAAGGCTGTATTCTCAGAACAAGAACCTCAGCTACTACGAGACGCGGACATCAACCACAGTTTCCAAACGCGCTGTCGTCATAAAAGAAGTCGGCTTACTGACGAAAGCCGAGACGCAGGCAAACCTTTTGAAGGTATCAAAGGCCCTCTGCACTGCGCTACGTATCTGGCATGACAATGACTTCGTTCGCATGTGCCCACCCGCAGGCGCCACCAACGATATCCAGACATGGATCATGGATCTACATGGAAATTCTGCAAAACGAGCAGGGCGATATGGAACGCGCAACACGTCTCGGGCTCGCGCAACGAGGCCCCATGGACGTCGAGGCCCTCGACGTCGAAACCTTCTCGGGCACGGCGCGACGAGCTAACCAAAAGCTCTTGGCCAGCACGAGAGCGCGCAAAAATGATTGGCCACTCGCATCTCTGGACATTGATAAGACCTTCCTCAAAGGCCGAACCTACAAAAGGAGCGAGCAGCAGCCACTGGAGAAAAGGAAAGACTAGTGCGTGTCACACTCCCTCCCAGCGCGGCACCGGCGCTCCGAATCCTATCAGTCTCTGCCATCTTTGACGAAGCAAGACGCTGTCTTCAGCATCTGAAGCCTGGCACGGGCACCAAAGATGCCCCTCGAGCATTTTCACTGAAGCTCAGGGGCATCACAAAGGGGGCCCCGGGCCCCAGGGCACGAAGTACGACGAAGAGTTCGAAGCGAGCCCGACCCTGACCACGGCTTAACACGTCGACGACGCAGCATGGCCGGCGAGGAAACCCGCATCGACAAATACGTACAATGCGTAAAAGGAAACAGCTGGAGCATGTTAGCTGGGTAAGGAAACGTGCACCAACTGCGCTGCACGTTGCACCACGCCCCCGAACGGCGACGTCACGATGGACCAAGATGAGCACGTGAAACAGTTGAGAGCCATCCAGCATCCCAGGCTAACTGGAGCGGCACCCTAAGAGAAAGCCACCAAGACTGTGGCAGACATGTTCATTAGTCTGAGGGTGGATTGGCATATGCAGTCATTGCACAGGTATGGCTCATAGTCTACGTCGCTTCACTTCAACGAGTTCACGAGCCTAAGAATAAGTAGGTTCGGAGGTTGAACGCGGCGACCAGAAAGCCGTTACCTTGTCATAAGAAACTTACGCGCTCAGCTATGCCACCAACAGACGATGTAGATATCCATGGCGACTCTGGATATCGTTGCTTGACGGGAGATGCGGATGTTGAGGAAGAGGGGCATGGCATCCGCGGGGCATGCCTGCTGAGGCGCGGGAACACGCACAACGGCACAGCCGTTATCCACCTCGCGGAGGCTTACTGCAAGTCACATCGACTCCAGGCGCGTTCGAGCAAGTCAGCGGAAAACGCTAGCTGCGGCGCACAATCTCGAGGACTGTTATCCAACTATAGTCACACTACACGAACGAAAGGCGGTATCCATCATGTCCCTTGCGGAATTTAAAAATGTTGGAGAGGAGTGGCCCATGCATGAAGGCATCTCTCACCATCGATGCCGAGTCTGTCTTCAAATCCCTGTCCAGACCCCAAGAAGCCTACAGAACGCATTTTACGCGGGCATATACGTTGGGTCAGACAAATGGTGGAGAGAAGTATCAGTAACGCCCGCAGTATTGAGCGCGCCCTGCGATGGGGCTGCGGACCGCACAGTTTCTTATCTGCGCCTGGCAGCAAGCGCCCGGTCGCGGGCTTCCAAATAGCACAGCTGCTGCCGCTTTGTGGCGAAAGCCCGACACCAGGCATCCGTTTACCTGTGGTGCCCAGTTGTTGGCCACGCAGCCTGTTGCTCGGCACTTGGCCGCAGGCTCACACTGCAGGCGCTTCTCGTCGCTTAGCGCGCGCACAGTTTGCTGCTTAGTTTGAGTTGCCGATCAGCGGTCGCTCATTCAACGCAAGCCCCAGGCAAACTGAACAAAGCTTGCTGGATTTCAGAAGCTTCGCAACAAGATGTGCGTCCTAGTAGGATACACCCAGGGTGTAAGGAGAGCGGCCGGTAATTGCTCTCGGTGGGACAAGACAAACCCCGGCTCCTGCGTCGATGGACTTACAGCTGAGACATTCAATGCGCTTTTAAAGCTTAAAATATGGAGTCTCTCCTTTTAGCCTTGCCGTTGCGATGCGTTTCGTTCTGCCCCCTTCCCTCCCGATTTCAAGGGGGCCTTCCGCCGCGTCAGCGAGCGGAGGCAAAAGAGGAGCGAACGAATCCGCGGCCGTTCTGGCACAGGGCGTCGTCGCCCAGAAACGATTAGCCACTATCACGATTGACACGGCGCTGGGAGAGGGAATCGTATCTGCTTCTACATCAGCGCCAGGGCCTACCATTCTCCGATGGCTTCTTCTTTACTGAGCTGACGACAACCCGAAAAGGCGGGAATACGGAAAGCATTCAGAAATGAGGGAATCGATGAAGTTGGCTTCTCCGGACATTGTTGGTGGTCGTCTTGTTGCCCTTTTGTGCCCTCCTGCAGGCATTTTCGGCCGTCTTGAATCAACATTTGGCCGCATTGGGGCAATCTTGGGCCGTCTCCGAAGCAGATTGGGTCATCTTGATGTCTTTGGCTGCCTGCACGGGCAGTCGTGGAAGCTCGGGACCCTGATCCATCATTTTACGCATATGTACAATGATTTTCGAAGGATCGTGGCTTGGGAGGCTCCCTGGAGCGCTTGGGAGCAGCGCCCGGTAATGCGAGATGTGCACAATCCTCGTGCGGGTGCGCGTATGAGGGTTCAGGCATTAGCTGCCATGCGGGAAGTGCACCATCTTCGAGTGGGCACGCGAAGAAGGGGGTTTCAGGCATCAGCTGCCATGCTGGAAGTGCACCATACTCGAGCGGGCACGCGTGGAAGGGGGGGTCAGGCATTAGCTGCCATGCTGAAAGTGCACCATCCTCGAGCGGGCACGCGTGGAAGGGGTGGGGTAGGAATTGGCTCCCATGCTGGAAGTGCGCCATCCTCGAGCGGGCACGAAGAACGTGGCCTCGGAAAGGAGGGGCGATGCATGCAACAGTCCGCGGGTAGAGGGGGTGCGGTTCTTTGTCGGATTGCGATAAACCTTGTTAGACAGCACTGACATTGTTTCATGCCTCAACGTGCCAGGGGGCACGGTGGCGGATTAGTGTCACGCCTCCGGTTTCCCCCCCCCCCTCCCATGTTGAGATTCACGCTTAGATTCACGTTCAGACTCACTCAGGCTCAGACGCATTGACACACAGACCCATTCACAGTCAGACTCACTCGCACTCAGGCTGACTCAGCCATAGTCAGACTCATACACAGATCGCTTACACGCAGATCATTCACGCTCAGACTCACTCATACTCTCACCCACGCACACTCAGACCCACCCACACCCAATCTCATATTTACGCCAACATACACGGATCCATTCATACTCAGGACCATCGTGCAAAGATCAAGGCACATTCGGACTTCCATAGCGGATGCAGCATGCATGGCACATGGGTTTTCCAGGGGGTTGCCGAGCAGGGGTGTTCCACGGCATCGTTCGCGCCCAGATTGTGGCGACGTCTCGGGCAGAAAGTCCGGTTGTGGTTAGCCGCATGACCACCGCGTTGTAGCAGGCATGGCATCTGGTTCTTGCCGACCAGGGGTGTTCGACGGGCCCGTTCGCGCCCAGTCTGAGGGGACGTATCTAGCAGAAAGGCCGGTTTTGGCTTTGGGCGCGTCTCTTGTCAGAGCCCTATGATCGCCGCGATGTAACAGGCATGGTGTTTGTGCCTTCCAAACGTCCCACTTCTTTCACGAGGCAAGGGGGTATGATCTCTCTTCCTCATCCCGATCCTCTTGCTCCGCTTCCTGATCGGTGCTGCAGTACTCGGCGTTCCAGTCCATCATCGGCATCGGCCCGCCAGAAACGCCCGTCAAGGACGCCGAGGAGCTCCTTCAGGCGGATATCCTGCTCCTGGTCCTTCTTCTCCCCCCTGCTCTTCCCCGATGACGCAGGCATCTATACAACACCACGACGCCTGACTGGGGGCCATCCTGGGCCCCAGCATGGTACATACGACATCGTGGTCGAGGCCAGGCGGATCGATTATCCACCCTTAAGGCCAGGGGCCTTGGCCAGCCATGGCGGTGGTGTATAGGTGCCGTCTGCGGACCCACCACCTCCTCCTCCTCCTCCTCCTCCTCCTCTTCCTCCTCCTCCTCCTCTTCCTCTTCCTCTTCTTCCTCCTCCTTTCAGCCTTTTCCTTCTCCTCCCCCTCCTTTTCCTCCGCTTGGAGACGGCCATCGATAACGTCTCCAACTACACCTCTGCAGGGCTACCCGTGCCCGACGACTTGAAGAACAACTTGGAGGATAGGAAGAAGGTGTCGGCGGCGATGAAGACGAAGCCCACGATGGTGGACACCTTCGGGGTGAACATGTACTCGATATGCTTCGGCAGGAAGCCAGGCTCGGACGGCTACCTCATCTGGAGCGACACCGCGCCGTCGGTCAAGCCCGAGTATTTCAGGCGCGTGCAGGTGGTGGGTAACCATACGTGGAGCGTCTTGTTGAAGGAGCCCAGGTTTGTACACGACCCGGCAAGCGAGGCCAAGAAGTACGAAGGTGTGACGTTGGGTTGCGAGAAGGGGTGCGGGGCGCTCCTGGATAGCGGCACGTCGCTCCTGGCACTACCAGGCCATACGATCAACGAGCTCGTCAAGGTCACGCTCGAGCCAGGGTTCGACTGCAAAAGATTGCATGACATGCCATCGATTAAGCTCAGGCTTGGCGACCACGATATCATCCTGCCGCCCGACACCTACGTCGCGGAGGTGACCGAAACCGGAACCAACGTGCCGCAGTACCTCCAGAGCTTCGTCCGCCTCCGTAAGTTCAATGTCTCGAGCCACCAAGAGCCAGGAGCGGGGTGGGGGAGGGGGGAGAGGGAGGGGGAGGGACAGGGAGGGAGAAAGAGACAGAGAGGGCGAGGGACAGGGAGACAGGGAGACAGCGAGAGAGAGGCCGAGAGAAAGACAGAAGATGGGACAGGGAGAGAGATTCGGAGGGGGGAAGATGAAGTGGGGAAGGGAGCCGCTGCGACCTCATGGTCATGGAGTCGGGGGCGGAGACGGCCAACGGACCGCTGTGGATCCTCGGCGCACCCTTCTTCAGGCAGTACTACACCACCTTCGAGGTCGGGGGGCACACCAACGAGAGGCGGGCCGTGTACTTCTCGAGAGCCTCCGACACGTGCACGCCCTCCGCTCCGGAGGACTTCTGCTCTGCTCGCTCTTCCGTTTCGTTTTCGTTGTAGTTTCTTCTTTCTTGGTTTCTTCCTTTCCCTACTTTGTGTCTCTTGCGTGTCTGGTAAGACTCCGGGCTGCGCACAGACAGGCCCCCCCTAGGTTGTCCTGGCGGGCCTCAACAGGCCCCCCGAGTAGTCCCAGCTGGCCTTCACAGGCACCCTAAGTAGTCCAGGGCGGTCGCGGCGCCCTGAGGCGGTCCGCGCCCCAGAGTTGGGGTGTTGAGACCTCCCTGGACCATTCGGAGGGGCCTGTTAAGCACAGCTGGGACTACTTGGAGGGCTTGTTGAGGACAGCTGGGACTGTCTGAGGGGGCTGTCCGTGCGCAAGCAGAAGTCTTACCATCGCTTCTTGTGCTTCTCCGCTGCCTCCTGCTTGGAGTAACGTGCGATATTCCAGGCCTGTCTGGTGGCATCATATCGCACGTCGTGAAACCATTGGATAGTGGTCCTTTAGCGGACAACGAAAGACTCCGCCCCAGAGGACTTCGAGAGGCACGTGCCACCGACGCAGCTCTACAGGCGCCTCATCCATCCGTCCAAGCTCTGGGTGCCGCCAACCGCCCTCGAAGCCCTCAGCGCCGAATACGTGAATCTGTGAGGCGCTCCAAGCACTGCTCCCATCCTCGGCGGCGCGCCGAGGGGTGAAGTGAGAGGGGGCAGGCCTTCTCAGAAGGCGGCTGGGCTTCAGGGAAGGCCGGAGACCGTCCGAGCCTTCTAAGAAGGCCCGTCTTCTCTGACATCAGCTATTCCACGCCAGGCCGCGGCGCCAGAGCGCCCCCGCTTCCTCCGCGGCCTGGGCTCCCTTCGGCAGTTGCCCGTGGGCCGCAGTGACATGCTTCCAGGCTGGCGGCAGAGTCGGGGGAGTCCAAGAGGGTGTGATGACCAGGGGGGGGGGGGATCTGATGACCAGGGCCATGATATGTGCCCAGATCTCATGGCGTCCTGTTCGTCTTGTGAAGGCCTTACGGCTGGTGCCGCCGACCCTGAAGGGGGACGTCGACGACGGCGGCGGCAGCGGCGACGACGACGACAACGACGACGCTGACGTGGGTCAGAGTCTTGAGGAATGCTTCTTGGGGTCTCTTCTAAGCGCTCTCTGGGGCCTCTGGGGGGCAGTTCGGGGGCCTCTTGCGGGCCTCTTGGGGGCCTCTTGGGAGCCTCTAGGGAGCCTCTAGGGAGCCTCTTAGGGCTTCCTGGGGGCCTCCTAAGCCCCGAGAGGCTCGAAATGTCCGTTCGGACCCCCCGTCTGGGCACCCTCTTGGAGCCGTCTTGGGGGTCTCTTAGGCCGTCTTGGAGATCTCTTGGGTCGTCTTTGGGCCCTCTTGGGTCCGTTGAAGGCCTCTTGGAAGCCTCCTGGGCCTTCTTGGGGCGATCTTGGGGCTTCCTAGGCTGAGCGTCGGGAACCCGAAAAAGCGAGAACGCCAAAACTCCGTCAAAAACCTCAAGCAATTCAGTGGATGCTGCCTCTTAGGAGTGCTCTTGGAGGCCTCTTGGGCCGTCTGCAGGCCATCTCTGACGTCTCGGACCGATCGTTCGGCGATTCGGGGCACTCTTGGCCCGTCTTGGGGTGTGGGCCCCAGGGCCCCCCTGAGGGGCATGGTATTCTGACCCGGGACCCGCCCGGGACACCCCCACCTCAGCGGGGAATGGATCGAAGGGAAAGGACTTCCCTTCGACTCAAAGACGACGTTGCTTAATGCCGCGTTGGTTGGGAAAGCGCGACGGGCACAGGATAAAGCTGCGACGGGCTCAAGGACAGGGGAGACAACGGCGACAGCGACGGCGACGGCGACGACGACGAGAAGAACAGATCAAACGGAACAGCGTTTCGCACACGCCGACAGGGTCAGCGGGTTCCCCAAACAGCGTTTGCATTTAGGGGCTATGATTTCTGTTCTAAGGAACTGGGCTTGCCCGCAGTCTGGCGGCGATGCGGTCGCCGTCGCCGCCCGTCTTCTGGGCCTGGCCGTCGGTCTGGCGGCGATATGGTCGCCGTCGCCGCCCCGTTGCCGCCTCATGCCGCCCGTCGTCTGGGCCTGGTCGTCGGTCTGGCGGCTATGTGGTCGCCGTCGCCGACTCGTCGTAGAGAGATTGCGCACCACATAGATTGCACAACATAGATTGTACAACGCGAGCTTGCACAATATAGATTGCACCACATAGATTGCATAACGTAGATTGCACAACATAGATTGCACAACAGATCGCATCACATATATTGCACCACATAGGTTGTCCGTTCTACAAAAATATAAGGACCTACCTCCCCCACCCCTGGGACTTATCGGGCACCCCTGTGGGATAATTCAACTAACAGGTGATCATGCCCCATCGTCAACCCTAAAAACGAATTCGTAGCATCCACACAAAATCGGCATCCCCCCCATCGTGTGCAAAAAGCACTATGCGCGCACACTCGTTCGTGAAGAACCATCAGTGTTCAAGAACCCCTTCAACGCAGAAAAAAACTGAGGAAACAAAAAAAACAAAAACAAAAAACGACTAAGTACACACGCGCGCATTGTCGCGCGCGCATGCCGACATGTGCTTCTTCCCAGAAATATATCCGGTGTCGTAAGGATTTCTAAATCTAGTGCCGCGAAAACAACTGTGAAAATACACATGGTTTGGCAACAGTGATTTCCCAACGAAAGCTTGCGCTCGCGCTCTTGAAGACCCTGAAGAAACCATGGGTTTTCAAACATGTTCATAACATGCTACCAAACGGGCCTCTCGCGCGCGCATGTCGGAATCGTTCGAACGCCATTTGCGCGCGTGCTGTCGCAAGAACCCTTTTTCAAAGAAAGAGACGAAGTGCACGCGCGCGTCGTCGATACGAGCTCTCATGACAACCGTTCTGGTTGTTTGTTCAACGTCGCCATCGAATTTCTCAAGCGGGCCTCTCGCGCCGCATGTCGAATTCATCCGATCGCCCCTGTGCGCGTGCGGGGGGGGGGGGCGCGATCCGTGTCAAATAATTCTACGCGGGGCACTCGCACGCGTCGGCCGCGCGCGCATGTCGAGCTCCTTCCGAAACAAGCATCACCGATGCGAGGACATCGTCATCGTTATCGGCGGGCGCGGTCAACATCGAAGCCGCCATCTGCTTTGCCGTCGTCATCGCCATTATCGCCACCATCATCGCTATTCTCACCATCGTGTCCACCGTTGTCGGCGTCGCCATGATACCGCGCCCGCCCCTGTCACCGACTCGCACTGAAGTGCCTCCTGGGAAGCGCCCAGCGTTCAGCGCCACCGCGGCCGCGCCGGTCGCGCCGCACTAGCTGATTGCCGCGCGCGCGAGCATGCGCGGGCTGGCGCGGCCGCAGAGATGCACTTGCCAACGCCAAGCATTCATTGCAATCGCCGTCGCATGGGTTTTGCAAACCAACATGCGGGCGGGTGGGTGGGATGATTGCGCGAGCAGTGGAGTTGACAACTCGTTGCGAGCATTGGTGATTCCCCCCCCCCGCCCACCCCCCGGGATTATCCGTTCCCTTTTTCGTATTGCGATTTACATGCGATTCTGCCCCATCGACCACCCCGAATCTGAATTCATACCACCCCAGCCACGCCGGTTTTCCCCCCCGCCATCCTCTGCAGAAAATTACTGTGCGCGCGCACTTGTTTATCAAGAAATCATGAGTTTTCAAGAATCACTTGCAACAAAGGGCACGAGGTGCACTCGCGGGCGCTGTCGCGCGCGCGTGCCGAAATCCGCCAAAAACCTTCGGCTGTGCAAGAATGTCAAGATCGAGGAGTGACATAACAAAAAAACATATAAAAAACACAAGGTTTCGCAACAAGCGTTTTCAAACAAATTGCTCGCGCGATCTTGTGAATTCTCAAGGCAACCATCTGTGTATCATCATTTTCAGAAAATGCTACCACGGGCTGCACGCGCGCGCGAGCCTGGGCGGTTGGCTCGAGGGCCCGCACTTTGGTGTCAATGGGGTCATCGCTGGCTGCTCGATGGCCACCACCCTTATCCGAGTTTATTGCATGGAAGGATATGATAGCATTCCCCCGTCCCCTGCCGCTTCGCTGGACGTTTACATTGACGATCAAGGGCTGTCGTCGACTGGCCCCCCGAAAGTCGTCATCGATTCGATCGTTCGTGGGGCCATGGCGCTCGACTCGGTCGTCCAGGAGGTTTTTGGGTGTTCCTTCGCTCTGGAGAAAACGGCTATTGTGTCCAGCTCCAAATGTGTGGGTTCTCAAGTCCTCTCTCGCATCAGCCATCTTTGCCAGCGTTGCACAGGCTCAGCCGTCAACCTCGGAGTTGACTACTCGGCAGGCCGTGCTGTTAGAGTTGCTGGACGATCGGCCAAGATGAAGGCCAGGCTCGCCAAGGCGGGCAGAGCTGCGCGGCGCCTAGTGCGGCAGGCTAAGGTACTTACTCGGTCTACGCCCTTGAAGGTATTCTCTGCTGGCCCCCTGGTGGGAGCCTCATACGGTACCGAAGTCACGGGCATAAGCGATCATGACCTTAGCTTGCTGCGCCGTCGCCTTTTTAGTGTTGTGCGCCCGCACAGTCGGCTGAGGTCCCTCACGGTCCTCGCCCTGCTGGACAATGACCCGACATGGCGATCGGCCACCGCCCCCATTCTCAGATGGAGTAAGGAGATCTGGCTAAGACAGACAGGAGCTTTCAGCTGGGCTATCCCTCTGCCCACTTTGAAGTCTGCCTGGGCTGCCATCTTTTCTGACCCCAGCTGTAGCTGGAGGAAGGTTGCGGGACCAATCGCTGCCATGAGGATGTTTCTGGTCAGATTAGGGTGGAGTATGCCTAACTTCATGACACTGGTCGACGATTTCGGGAAATCTATCCCCCTTGGGATCTTCTCGCCTGCTCATGTCGGGCCCCTGGTCCGCGCGGGTGTTCTGAGAGTTTTGGAAAGAGATGCCGCTGCCAGGAGGGGCATCTCTTACCGTCTTTGTTATGATGTTGTCAAGGAGGCTATCGCGCCCCGCAGTAAGCTTTTCACGGCCCTTCAGAAGGCTAGGATCAGAGCCTTCTCTACGGAGGCCATCTTGACTCGGGCTCGAGCCAGGGCCCTTGGGCACGACATTGATCCGTGTTGTGTCCACTGCGGGGCCAACGACACCATCTTCCATCGGCTTTGGGAATGCCCTCTCCCCGAGGCTGCGTCAGCTCGGCTTGAGGCTACTGACAGCGAGGTGATAGAGGCCGCTCTGTCAGCTAAGGCGTCTGGAGGTGATGATGAGCTGTTGGTCTTTATTTCTGGAGCCTTTCGGCACCCCGCCGATTCCTTCCCTCGGACTGCTGATGAGCAAGGTGATGGTCCGACCCTGGTTCGGCACAAGATGCCCGAATTTGACCCTGGTGGGGCCCCCGTCAGCAACAGAGTGTGGGGCTCCTTATTTGTTGATGGCTCGTGTACCCGCCACGCTGTCAAGGAGCTCTCTCGCGCTGGCTCCTCAGTCTGCAGGGTAGACGAGTCGGGAGATCTTGTGGCTGAGCTGAGGGCCCCTGTTTGGGGCCCCTACCCTCAGACCCCTCAGAGCGCCGAATTCTGTGCTTTCACGTGCCATCCTGCTGAATGCCATGTGTATTCTGATTGCAGCAATGTGGTC